AAAAATTTGATTTTTTGAATGGAAAGCCATGGTGACAAAATTATAGATTGCCGGTGGGTTTACGGGTTTAAGCTTTTTGATTACTAAGGAAATAAGCCGTTTTCCAGGTAGAAAAAACTGAGAAATCGTCACAATCAGTATTGGGTTTGGAAACTTCAATAAATTACGAAAGCAAGCAGTCATACATATAGTGTTATTGCACTTTTACTTTATTTCCTTGACCTTTCACTGATTTGTCAATAACCGACGGGTGCCACGTAAACCGGCATGCAAAAGTTTCCTTTCGGATCTTCGGGTGCCCTCACACTTGAACAGCCTAGCTGTCCACTCCCTTTCCAGAAAAGAGCCGTTCAAAAATTCAACTGGCAGTTATTGATCCTCCGTGGACCTTTAACAGGAAGCGTCCAGTCATGGGTATCGGTGTAGTCTTCACCTCATCTTGATTTCTTGGTGCAGCACTCGTATAGTGTCACCAATTAAAAACAGTTTTTTGAAATTTGGAACTTTGTTGTACTTTGTATGAATAAGACACAGAGTAGCGCCTTTGATTACTTTATAATATGATCTCTGCTTATAAAAATTACATATATAGTTCTGAAGTAAATTTATATGGGATGACAGGGTTTTTGTGTCATCCTAATAGTTACAAAAAAAACTTTTTAGCCGCTTGTGTTGCATTCAGGCATTTTTTAAATACCAGAAATTTCCTTTCTTTTTTTGTTATAAATAATCGCTGTTTTAAGCAGTTTTTTAAGTTTTCTATTTAACGATGAATGGAAAATGCTGTGAATTTTTTTATTCTGAAAAGTTAAACTAAATTCTGCAACTCTGCATGTTTTATAACATTTTCTTCTCAGAATATTGAAACTTTAATATTGTGTAATATTCAGTGGCAAAAATGAAATTGCTATTACTTTGTTTTCTTTTATTATATTATTTTGTAATTTATTCTTTTTGTCTACTGTGATTTCTTAATTACTTTCTTACTGTTAACATAACGCAAAAGCAAATTTTCTTGGCCATCTATTACAAACGAATATAAGTTGGAAGAAGATTTGCAAAAACTGTAAATTATTGGGCTTATCAAAAATTTCTGGAGATATTAGTTAGATGGGTTTATGAAGAAGGCAGAAAAGACGAAAAGACGGTGACAAGGAAATATTGTTTTTGCGTTTATTTTTTACGGGTATGGCAAAGATGTCCGGCAGTCTTTACTTACGGGCGTTTTGAAATCAAATCAAACATTTTCTTTAATTGACATTTCAGATTTTTTTCGAGTCTTTTTGATTGACAGAGCCATGCTCCAAATTTATTGAATTGGAGAATGGACCTCGTGCGGAAAAAGCAATTTTTTATTAGGTCCTACTGCTTAAAGCAAAAATTTCTCAGGTTTGCGAGCGGCTACATTTGTTTTACACGCAAAGATTTCTATGTTTTTCTATTTTTAGTCAAATTTTTTTAAAATTTTTATAAAAAATTTTCTGTCTCACAGGTTCTGAGCAATTTAGTCTTCTTACACAATTTATTATACAAAAAACTGAGAAACCTAAAAAGGTAGAGCTTGCAAAAAGCTGTTAGAAAAGTCGCACTATATATGCAAAATAACTCTTGACAGAATGAAGGGAATTTTTGAAGTGCAAAGTTTGGATCCTGATAGTTGCTATTTACTGAATAATCTGACGCTGGCAGTTTTAGTGTCTTGTAATGGAATTCCTTACCGGTGGCAACTTTGGTTTTATGAAAATAAAACGATCATTTGTAAAAAAAGGTAGCACAGGAAAATTTAAAGGGCCAGATTTTACTAAAAAGCTCTAATTTTCTCTATCTGCTTAATTCATCAATTATAAATTTAGGTCCCGAAATTTTTCCGCTTTAAATCCCAGTTTTTGTTTCAGTTTGCAAAAAATTTGGCACAACGTTTTTATTTAATTTGGAATTGACCATTTTCCTTATGAAACTTTAAGCTTTTTTTTCTCAATATTCTGTGCAGTAATTTTTCATAAGGAGTATGTTATTTGGGATCTGCAGAACTCAGATTGCCGTGTTAACTGAAAGCACCTACAAAACGCACACGAGTAATAAAAATAAATTTTCCTGAATTGTGCTTGGTTGTTTGGAAGCCTGTGAAGTTTTAGCACTCACTCTAACGGAGTATGAACTGATAAAAAATTCATTTTCTCATGTAGATTATTTAAATTTGGAAAAGAACTCTACAAACCAGTAATATTTTAAAAAAATTGGTGGTGTTAAACAAAGAACTATACGATTTGTGCGAGATCTTTGCCATGTGTTTTTCATTTCGTTTATTTTTATTCGTATAGTAGTCTTAATTTTTGTTTTTTACTAATACTTTTTTTTTTTTTTTTTTTTTTGATTAATGACATCATTCCGGTAATTAATGCTATAAAGAAAGAGTAATAAATGAATAAAATTGGAGTTTACTGTTATAGTTGTGCTGGCAAAAACTGATGAGACGTCAGTTAGTAGTTGATGCAGACTTGAATTTGGGTTATATTTTCTCGTTTTGAATGATAAAATGCTACATTGATATTGCACACTTCAAAATGTTAAACGCTTGAGAAATAATTGCTTTTTATATCATTTTTCAGTGTCCTTTATGTGAGCAAAAAAAAAAAAAAAA